CCCGTATCACCTCGAGTCCGTCGCTTCACAATTGAGCGTTCTTAAAGGCAGTTTCTTCCCCCCCCCCCGCACCAGCACACTGGCCCTAAACGTACCAATTCTTTAAAGGCCGGGAATCTGGCATTGAGAGTGTCTATGGGCAGCGGCGGCGGCGGTATCACTTAACATTAGGTGAGCCTCCTGCCCGTTTGCCCTCTATTCTATAAAAAAGTCAATTATAACAGATCTCAAACATCTATCATCTGTAAGTCCGTCTTAGATAATAGTACATTAAATATATACGTGACTCATTGGTTTAACTTCTTTATATCTTAACATTCTTTTGAAAATGTTTGGTAGATCAAAGCTATACTCATAAACTAGACTAAACTTCTTAACGAGAACAAGGCGATACATATACAATATCGTGTAATTTGCGCCGCTGCATCGTTATTCGGTATTTTTTGTATATTCATAATTTATTATAACCATTTCCAATATTTTATTTTAGATCAACGTTTTCGAAAGTATAAATTCATAGGTTTCTTTAAGGAAAAGTATAATAAATATTAAAGAAAGCATTGATGAAGCATTTCAATTATTTTTTGATGTATTTTCTAAATTTATACGGATCTGTTCAATAGAATATCATTTATTTTCAAGTAAGTCGCCATTAGTGCACAAATGCCAAGCTAATTGAGAGGCAGCTCCATTTATCAGTTGGCTAATTCCGCTAATGACATTGCTCACAGAATGTTATTAAGCTCTATAATTACTTTATAACCTTAACAAACTTAACAATTTATAAACTTTGTTTACAAGTCAAGTCAAGTTAAATCATTTCAATAAGGCCTATTAAAAATGCACGGTAGTTTCATATGGAGAAGAAACTCCATACTTACTCTTTTAAAATTGTTTTTACAATATTTTGTATACATTGATTTAATATGTGAAGACCATGTGCCTAGAACAAAAAAAAACTACTATACTAAAATAAAATAGGCGCATGGCGTTATAAAAAAACGATGCAACAGATAACTACATTATTATATGAATACATGGCGCTCACATATTTACTTACTTACCACTTATTTCTGAGCCGTGCATGTACATAGACAATTGTCGAAAAGTACTGATTAATAATAAAGAAGTAGTAGAACTCCTCAGTTCCCCAGAAGTCGTCGTTACTGTTGTTAAAGACGTGAAGCCTTCTATATCTGACTCATTACTTTAGAAATTCATTTTAAAGAAATTAGTGAGGTTCGGGCGCTGATAACCAATGCGCATGATAGCTCGGTAGTCATGCGTCATAGATTTCTCCAAGTAAGGGTTGGTTTTGGTACAAATATTAATCTAACCCGCCTAAACTTACAAAACCGAACATATTTTTTCTAATTTACAAACATGTTAAAGAAATTATTTAAAAAAAATTATACTGGTCTAATTCGTCTAAATGTGAAGTGTATACGTTTGCTAAAATTCCCGGTGAACTTCGTATCACCTACGTATATTAGTGACCAAACTTAATACAACATTTTGAAAACACCAAAGAGATTGGACCTCATACTACAGCTATGAAACACAAATTTCTGAAGGCATCTATAAATATAAATACAACCAGATGACAATTCTTTATTTCTAAAAAGACAAAATATTTCCCGGCTAGGAAGTTTTTATTGGAAAATTCAGTTATCGCTTTTAATATTTTTATTTACTTATTATTTATGTTTCCCACCGTTTAAACCTTCCCTGAACTTCCACAATTATTTCAAGATCATAATTAGCCATTCTCGAGCTTTCGACACAACGAACAGCAATTCATTTTTATATATACTAACCAATAGCAATAATATTCGGGCTTATAAATTAGTCCATAGTCTGCAGAATGTCCTTTGTTGTCAATATGGCTCATAAATTCGGGATCACTGTACAACATCAGTATCGTATATAAGTAATTCCGTAAACGTCGCCATTTGATAGCTATTTGCTGTACTCCAAGCCAACAGTACGTTTTCATATACGTATAGTACAAGGCATTTATACAATCCCTGGAGGCTCGATACACATCAACCCCATTCTCAAGCTTCATGTTTCTGGCTGAATTCTGCCAGACCATTTTCATTATCACACAGGTCGAAGTATTTGATTAGGAAAATATATAACATTAAACATAAATAGCCTCAAAGATATTCACAATTTAGGTTACTTTAATAAGAAGACTTTAATAATTTTATCGTTTAGATGTTCAATATTGTATAAATTAAGTATTTATAGATCGAAAAGTACCTAGATAATAATATTAAATAAGAACGATAATTTTACTTTGAATAGCCAGATTTTTCATGTTACCTATTTAACCCTGACTCCATATTTTTGTTATTCTATCCAGTTAGATGATCATCGTAAAGGAAGATTCAAAATAAAAGGATAATTACAATTATGTTAATTAGTTTTACTTTCTAACAGTTTTATTATACAGGAAATGTAATGATTTAACACTACTACGGCTTTGGATAGCCATTTAATATCACTCTTGTCAATGAATAAATAAACATTGCAGCGTTATTCAATTGTTTGAAGCCGAACTTGAGAGAGAACTGTTTTAATAACTTCGTAATTAGTTTTTAACATAAAACAATCCTCTATACTAGGCCATCACTCATAGATCTGTAGAGTACACAGATCAAACACTACATGTTCAGAGCAATGTTGGCATTTGAAACCATTTTATTTAGTTTTCATCAAAGGCGTCGTCAAGATGCCTAGCAGCTGCCCGGTTACTCTTGACAATCAAAAAACCTTTTTTTAAGTAATTAACTCGTCAAAATATATTTTTCTTGCTTATATCTTAGATGTGGCTTGTAAGTAAGTTGAGTAACTTTATCTGCACGTATTTCTACTGGCTCTTGACAATGTGCTGGCGACGCGACGTCTTGGTTTTAGCTAAAAATCTTTAAGGAAATACGTATTAACTTCAATATTTTTTTTTACCTCAAAACAATGAGTTCCTGATTTCATTAAAAAGTTCAAAAAGTTAAACTCCTAAAACAATTCGGTTTTTGGGAAAATATTTATTAGTAACTTTTTACGCGGTCGGCTGAAATTTGGATAACTTTTTTGTATAGTTTTTCCAAATTTACCACATTCGAAAAGCTACATAATTAATTTTAGCAATGGTTGAATTTCATATTCTTTTAAGACATTTATCTTCTATGTATCGTAAATTAAAGGGGCAAGTTAATAGAAACTCAGCAAACTGGAAAACTGAATGATCATAAATATTTTCGGCACAGTGTTGTAGCTGAAACGGTACGATTTAGTGATATCGATAAAAGGTACATATGTAGGGACTAGAGCAGTGATTCTCAACCTTTTTTGTGCCATGCCCCACCTTAGCCTATCTTACATTCTTATGTCCCCGAAATCTAACATAATTTGCAATATTATAAAATGTAATTGTTCACTTAAGAAACTCAAATGATAGGTTTTGAATAAAATGCTAGGAAATTGTTAACGAAACAAAGTAAGTAAATTTAAAAACATAATGAAAAACTGCAATTCAAATTCCAAATAATTTTAATAAATTTTCGAATAGCCCGCCTTAACAATCAAATTGTCCCTCTGTGGGGCGTGGGCGTTGGATGTTGAGAAACACTGGTCTAGACGATTGGTATTATCCATATAACTATAATGTGATAGCGTAACGGAATCTTGAAAGGACTCAAATATTAAATACATTCAGAATACTTTTATAAATATATCGAGTACAAATAAGTAAAGGAAGGATATTGTGAATTTATACGTTTCAGTCGTAGTAACGAGTGTCAATGATGGTGTAGCGAATCGTAGATACGCTCTAAAAATGTACATACTATTTTGTGTAGTATTTTCTATAAGATTTTGATGTATGTGATAACATAAAGATAGGACACTAAGAAAAGAAGAAAACAGAAGTCACTCAGAACAGACTTTTAAGACGAGTTAATATACATGTTTTTTCCTTGAGGGTTTCTATAAGAATATAAATTAATTACTCTTGTTTGTAAAGAATAAACCAATTAACAAAGATAAAAATGGGTTGTGTTTTATATTGATTTATTATTACTTTAATATTGATTACTATAAGTAAGGTTTATGTGTTAAAGTGATAATAAATTTAAACTATTAATAATAATAATGACTATTGGAATCTCTATTATCATCGACCGTTAAAAAGTCGTTTGTCAAAATTGGCAAAACAACTAGTATTAACGGTTTTGAACTAATTTGACTTTTGATTATTAGGTAAATTATAATGACAACGTAGAATATGAAATAGTTGTTAATTTGTAGATCTATTAATATTGGCAAATCGAAATTTGACTGGACTTTAGATGTTGGTAATTTAAGAGATGTGTGACAGATAATGACAATGACAGCTGACACCAGCGACACTTCGATATATACATATATAGTTTCAATTAAAATACATACTCTTAAAGTTAACATAAAAAGTAATGTAAATTACCATTTGAAGTGCAACTTCTTTAGGTGCAGAGGGTAAAATTTTGACATTTATTATTTTAAAAAAAAAGGTAAATTTTTCATTTCTACATATTTTGCAGCGTTTTTGTCGAAGAAAAGGGAGAGAGCGATTGAGACCGATTGAGAGAGAGTGAGAAGGACGAATTGCCTTATAGAAATTATATTTTAAAAATTATAATTTCGTAAAGAGATTCGAGTATTTTATGCAAAATAATTGATTGAAATCTTGAATCGAATTGTAAACTAAAATGCCTCTGTTTTTAATATCGGAGAAATAAATTTTTATTAAATTCCTAACATATCTTCCTTGTTGCCTCTCTCTAAGTTTCAGAAATTTTTAGATTTGTATAAATATGAACAAGACTTAAAAATTAGTTTGCCAAAGAAATTTCACTTCTAACAAGTGTACTTTATACGCACGCACTTTTTAAATTTATGTATTATTGATTCCGATTGAGTGACTATCGTTACTGTATTTAAAAATTTATTGGTTTAAGGTTCTATACACCCGGATTGCGGTGGGTCTCTGGCAGAGTTCGAATGGGTTACGTCACATGGGACAGGCGCAGTGCTGCGCAGCGCAGTGTCCACGCCCGGAGAAGCCTCCAACCGAAAATTATGAACCACAGCGGACGTTCATAGGAACTTCTGAAGCCAAGGTACTATTACATTTTTAATGTTGTACAACAAGCAAACGGTTACTAAAGTTCAAATGAATTCTGTCTATCGAGTATCGATTTAAAGCCTGAGATATTTAGAGCGCTATTTGCTCTGTGATAAACCTCATCTAGGTTTTTTTTAAATTTAGAATATATTGCTTTTGCGTATCTGTCCGTGACTTGAAGTTTTAATTATCTTCAGGTCGTTGATACAAACTGTCGCTTTCATAGTTAATCACAGTTCATTTATATGTATATCTCTGTCTACGCTTATGAAATTTTCATAAGGATCCTCCTCGCTACCAAGCATTTCGGGAAAATGTGCGTGATTTATTATGAATTACTAAATAAACTAAGTTTATAAATCGCGTTTAATTAAAAAAAAAAAATTTATTAATTTAATTGTAAGTTATCTTACAGCTAACATACATATTATAAAACAAAACACTTAGACAGTACAGAAAGCCAAAACAGATTACATAGATAAACAATATATACGAAACAGAAAACAAATGTACAAGACAATTAATAGACAAAACTATATAAAGAAAACTGAAATTTAACATTTAAAACAACAAATAATACTTGATATTTCAAATCACTGCTCAAACAAAATCAGAGTCTTCCCGCCTCTTCAAATACTTTCTCACATCTTTTTTGGTGAGGTGGAAAATATCAATATCCTCATAATCATAATTGGTGTCATAGTTAGATAATATCCGAAACATTGGCGAATTATGCAGGTAATTCGAGTTCGTACGAGGCACATGGAACAATTTTGTGTGTCTTGTCGCATAAGGAGGAGGGATTTTAAAAGAATTGTTTTATTATTTTGTTTAATATTCAACATTTTATTTTATAGTAGTTTTCTGTTGTTTGTTTTGAGTTTGAAAAACATTTACAAATTATCTGTACATTAATGTTTTATACATATATTCGTAACGTACTATGAATTGCAATCTAGAGTCTTAATCACTAGCAAATAAATACATAACTAATCTAATTGAAGGTATTGTGAATATAACCTGAAAAAAATTATCATCGCTGCATACACAATTCGCCTTCCTTGGTCTCCTACTTCCTTAAGTACATCTTCAATCTTTTACTGCCTTCCACAGAAATACAACCTTAATGTGAGGATAAATAACCAGCTCCTTATAGTCTATCCAAAAGCAGATCACAAATTAAGACTGAATTACAACTTGCTTCATAACTATACCTCTCGTATGAAAAGTAACAATTATAACATGTAAATACACACCGCATATCTCAAATAACACGGAAACCTGTCTGAAACATTGTGAACAGTTACATCGCATTTCATAGTTATGAATTTTTAAAAACCTTTTCAAATTTCGCGAATTGTTTTAGAAATTGTTATGCCATTTGTGTCTGCAATTGTATATGCAAAAGCCGACCAGCTGCGTTTTACACTATAATGATATTAACAGAACTTCCAATCTACGCGTGAAATGAAATGTACGGAAAATACGATATTTCCCTCTAATGATCTCGTGCAAAACGAGTTATAATTTTATTCACAGAAAACAATAATTTTAAGGAAAACAATTCAGTAATACATTGCTAAGCACCAGTACACAAGACAATAATTATTTCGAACAACAGTAATATTGACGCCACAATTTAATTAATTCAATTCAATTATTAATAATCCTTTCTTTTGATATTGTTATTTTTATTTAATGTTTAGTTTTGAAATATCGCAATGGTAGTTGATTTACCTTACTGGGATTCAGATATCCTTTTTACATGCGATATGTTTGAAGGAAATAACATTTATATCATAATCCTCAAGGCTAGGTACAACCCAGATAAATAAAAAACAAATATACCGTAATAAAAGTTTCACAAAGTTTTACCAATTCAATTTATTACTTCAATGAAACTGATGAAGATCGAGGATAATATTTAGTTGAGATATATCATTAGGGCATTTGTTAGATTATTTGACTCGCTCAATTAACCCAAATTCAGTCCAATAACATTAATTTATACCTACCCTTTTATAGACGTACACAAAACATAATCAAATGTTGTTCTGTTGAATATGATGAAATAAATTCAGTGAAACACGAGCAATTTAAAAATTAAATTAAAGAATTCTATGATCATTTATGTATATTCAGGATGAAGCACTTTTAACTATTTATCTTAACAATAATACTGAAGCAATAAAAAAAGTATTATTTGAGGCTTAGTACATTATTAAGTATTTATTCTGAATTGAAATTTTTCTGTAGGGTACTCCAGCTGGAACGGTAAAAACGAAGAAGCGCTCCCGGCAGGAGAGTCGAAGCTGTCATCACCTCAGTCATCTGTCAAGAAATGTGCTGCGCGCGCGGCGCGGTGTCGTGCGTATGCTTATAGTGGTCGTCCTGACGTTTGCTATCTGCAACTTGCCCTTCCATGCTCGTAAAATGTGGCAATATTGGTCAACCGGATACCAAGGTACCAGCGACTTCAGCGCCCTCCTTACACCCCTCACATTTCTTATTACCTACTTCAACTCTGGAATAAACCCTTTACTGTACGCATTCCTGTCTAAGAATTTTCGTAAAGGCATGAGGGAGCTGCTTTTCTGTAGCTTTCACAGTAAGAAGAAAAGTGAGAACGTGATTTTATTGAATAGAGTTGGGGGTACGGGCTTACGGAGGAGTTCGACTCGATCGACACGGGCCAACTGTAGCACGGTGACCATGGCCCCGAATGGAGAGTCATGAGGGTTGTACAGGCGGAGGTTTTTCTATAGGCACACAGAAGTTTCCTGATTAACGGAGAGCACCGACGAGGTGACAGAAAGCAGCGGGCTCTACACCATATCCACGATATCACGGAAGGACTTGTATGACTGAGTGATGTGCTGTGACTGAATAACTTGTGATCTCATGAGCTTACAAAATGAACGTAAATGTTGTGATTGTATTACTTTGTGTTGAAGAGATATACGTATAGTCGCGGAACTCGTTAACTTTTAATTAAATATTACAATGTATTTTGAAGGATTAATTATACGTATTATTGCTATCGCTAACTAGTCATTGAATTCCGCGACATTAGAACTAAGCATATCGAGAAATGTACATATACATTATTTAGTAATACGTAAGAGAGTACCTAAATATAATTTACCTTCTGTAGTGTAAGAATTGTTATTCAATTAATGTTTGAATGATTATCTTAATCTTGATTAAATTAATAGTTTTTTAAGAAGTTATTTCATTTTGCGGTAAAGCCCTTTAACTTTAACGAATTCGTTTCTGGTCATTTAAGTATTGAGTTCGACGCCCGAGGAAACAATAGTGGAGGTCAAATTGTATTGGAATCAATGTCATTTTAAATTTTTAATCCCATGTGTGAGTTGCAAATATTCAAAGTTAAAATTAGTAAAATAATTTTTGGCTTTCCGGTGTAGGGCTCTATATAATATACAATTGTATAAGATTATACAAAATTAAAAAATATATTTAAAAGTAATATTTACAAAGAAGACCCGTTTTATCAAATAACTTATCTAGTTTTCTCACTCACTGGTTGTGCGACCCAAAAATCCTGTCTTGGCCTCCGAAACGAAAAACTTCCAAAGCGGCTTTTAGCTGCAGCAAGGTCCTCCCTCCGCCACTAACTTCTATCTATTTTTATAAATATTTATTTTATTTTTATATATTCTAAAATACAACATTATTGGAAATATTATCTGGGGTATAAATAAGTTAGGTGATTTAATATATTATGATATTGATAATCGAAAGGGACTTTATTACTTTTCCAATATCCTTTTAATTTGAAATAGTTTATAATTGATTGTTGAGAAAAGCAATAGATTTTTTATTGAACTTAATTAAATATTCACCTTTTTATTACCTTTTATAGTATAATATATATTTATTTACACTTCGTTGTAGTAATTCAGAACTATAGTACAATTAAAATAATTAAATAGGAGGAGGCAACGGGCAGCCTTATCCCTTGCGAGTGATATCTTCCAATCAACCACTGTGAGAAAAAAAAATAGATAAGATGAGCAAGAAGTACAGAATACATAAAATACATCTAAATTTTTGTCGATTGTTCTAAAATATACTGACTGTTCTAATAAAACAATTACTCTTTTAGCCAATCATTCTAACTTCTTGTCAAACTTCTTGAATCTGTGGTTTCCATCTATTTTATTGATTAACATTATCATTCAGCTAAAATCAAACGTTTCATTCAGAACTGCTCTATTGGAGCTTAACAACGAAAGCTCACACAATCTATACCATAGTTTCGTCAAGTATTCGCATAGGTTAACGCGATAATGTTGCTTTAGGTTTGGTAGGCGTGGACGGGGCCGGGCGGGGTTTACTATAAAAGGAAAACTTCGAACGCATGTTCGAGAGGCCATATAGATTGCGATGACAATACTGTATGGAGTTCAATATATGAATTCTAATACCTTTTTTCAAAACCTCGTGAAAAAACGCCCCCAGCCGCCCCGCCCCCCCCCCCCCCCCCCCTGCGCCGGCAGGATCATCACGTCGCAGTGTGACATCCACCCCCCGCCGCCCCCCCCCCCCCCCCCCCCCTCCCCCCCCCCCTCCCCGCCCCCCCCCCCCCCCCCCCTTTTTTTTTTTTTTTTTTTTTTTTTCCCCCGGACGATGCATGTTCGCGTTTTCCAATAGTTCCAAATGCGCCCACGCAGTGCTCTTCAAGGTTTCCCTACGTATTTTATCGTTATCGTTATCGTTGAACAGTATTCGATATATACATTATATTACGATAGCTATACGACCGTCTGTAATCGCTAATAGCGCGATAAAGTTTTATGCCAGAGTTATGTACTAACATTAGTCAAGCTACATACAATATTTCTGAACTCCTCCTAAACGACTGGACCGATTTTGATGAAAATTTTTATGTGTGTTCAAGGGGATCTGGGAATGGTTTTAGGATTCACAAATCAGCCCGGAGAGGCACCGCAGTCGGCACTTTCACTCTTCCCCTTTTCTCCCTAATCGCTTTAAATATCATGCAGGACAACGTCTGTGGGGTCCACTAGTATATGTATATATTTCAGTTAATAGTTAGAACACACTGGAAGCCAAAATGCGCCCTTTAGTTTTCCCCACTCTCATAAATTGTTTTTTTTTTTTTTTTTTATATTTATAGACAGAATATTTTCCAACCATTAACTAATAAACTTACAGATTATTTATTTAAATTTATAACTAATACATGGAAGAACTTTGTGAATCAATTACAAACAATAAGTTACCTAATAGAAATCTTATTTATTATGTGTATTGCTCGCGTGAGGGGTGCCTAACAAGTTGAATGTGCGGTACATCAAAATTGAGATTCCCAGTTTCTATTGTACCCGTAGACATCTCTCCTTATGTCCATTATGAACCCGACCCTAAGTATCTTAAATATATACACCGACAAGGCTAGCTTCTTCTAGGTAGTGGTCATATCCCACCATAATATAACATTCTCGTTTCCGATAATATCCAATAAGTCGACTACACTTATATTATTTATAGTTAACAGAAAAGACACTTAGATTTAAGAACCCTTAAATAAGTCAAGTTAGTTTTTGTTAATCTAGAATCGCAACCCCACTACCACTAATTTTATGTTAGTATTAAACACACGTTTGAAACGATTAAAGCCAGTTGACACCAAGCTTCAAACAAAAAGTCTCATTTAATATACATTTGAATATCCCTGCAACAACCCCCACCAAACTTAACTCTGGCTCAGAATCTTACAAAGATATAATAATCAGCTTTATCCTCTAAATAAATATCTCCGATACCGGCTCTTGCAGTATATTTTACTGTACCTATCAAACACACTAAAGTTCGTAACTGCATTTGAATTAAGAGCAATTAATTAATTAAAATTGGATTAACACCAAATAAAATGAACATTATATTTAATAATAAGAAATATAGGAAAACATTTTGTTGATGTATAGCGAACTATTTAATTTAATTTCGTTTAAGTCATCATTAATTATAAAATAATAGTTTTCTAAAAATAATGCTTTGAAATGTTTATTTATTTGATTTTTTCTTCAATCGTGGAGAATGAGGAAATGAAAATTCACTTTGCCTTATGTGTTATTTCCTTGTCATTAAACAAAATCAAAACTCAATCGGAACTCATGGTACGTTTAATATTCATATTGAATATACAAAATGATATTATGATTACTTAACTGATTTCTCTCGATCAAACGAATATCTCGAATTGCAATACTCAAAGGTATCTTAGTTTAAACAAAATAAATTTCTGAACGCACGCATTAATATTTGTGTTTTAACAGATTAACCCACTATTAGAAAAGGACTTAATAAACAACGTAATCGGCCATTTTTAAAGTATTTTATTTCACAATTTTAGTATTTTTGATAATTCTTAACTCTGGTGTCCTGTTCATACCTTAAAGTATCATACATAAAAACTAATTAATTAATTCAAACAATTGTATCAATAAACTTACAAATACTTCACATATATCTATGTAATGACCATGTTTACCGTCCTAACTTTATGTTAATAAATACATTGCGAAAGGATACATTCTAATTTATTTTATGAGAAGCCCAGACCTACGCAAATTTTAATAATTTATGAAAGTTATAAAAAGCTGTCACCAGCGTTTTAAATAGCCTTACATAAAACCGTATGTATATTCATTTCTCAGCCGTACAACATAATATTTTATATACTTTTGCTTGTATGGTGTGAATCAATGCTACTCTGATTGCCATCCAACTCTTGCCGGTCCGAGTAGCAATTGGAAATTTAAAACTAATTTAAAGAATCCTTTGACGGCTGTTCGACTACATCTTAATATGTCCGATAAAAATAAGTTTGATAAGAAATATAGGAATTAATATAAGATTGCATAATTACCAGGTAGTTTACCTCATTGTTAAATATAGTTTGTTATTGTTATAACCTTTCGAAACATTATAACTCAAGTTTTATCTATTTTATAAGTTTTTAAAAAAGCAAAATGGCTGTAAAAACGTGTCTAGTTGTAAGTTTGTTACATTCCAGGAAATAATGTAGGTACACTGGATATGTAGCACGATAAATTTTTGTGAAACAAAATAAAGTCTTTTTGAAATTGAATTGAATAGTTTCTGCTTAATTCGTTTCCTTGACTGAAGCAGCGTTATTGGTGGGATTCGTATTCTAAAGTCGAGTCAAAAACTAAACCTACCTAAAACTCGGTGTAAAACTTCTTTAACTGAGTTTAATTTAATTTAATACCTACGTGCTATGAGAGCATTTTGAAACTGTGCCAAATGCCTTCCAATTATTATTGGAGGTATTCCTTAAAGCGCAGATATTCGGTAAAATACGGTGACTCTTCCGCATAAATTACTGCGTACAAATGTCTTGGATTACCGTTTATTCATTTTATCCAGTTATAATTCATTCTAACTGTACACGAAGATCTGCAAATACATAACTATACTTGACTTGGTTTAAAATAGAGAAACCTAAGAGGATTACTCAGGATTCTTGCAAAGACTTTTGTATTTTTAAGTCCTTAGTGTAGAATAGTTTTAGGGTTGGTGTGTAAAAATAAATTCTTAATCATTATAAAATTATATTTCAATGTAACGTGTCGATTATAAAAAATACTAAAGTAAATTTGATATTGTGTTAGTCTGTCGCTATATTTAGGCTGTCGCATATGTTGAGTAGGTTAATATATATA